AGAGAATATCTGGGGTGTAGGAGTGTGGATCTAATTAAATAGCATATGTCTAGGCTGCCAGTCCGGAGCCCTCTAGGGCAAGCATGTGAAACTCGTAGTCCTCGGGCTGCATGTCCCGTTTGTTTGGCCCATGCTAGCCTTTGAGTTTGACATGCTTGCTCTCGGGGTTCTGTTTTGTAAATATTATTTCTTGGCTTTCTCTGCTCTCAACTTAGTGTTGGCTTTCTTAAGACTGCTTTAGTCATTACCAGTTACCTAAATGCTTTTCAACTTTAAAAAATATATTTTTTTATGATTTCAGAGAGGAAGGGAGGAGAGAGAGATAAAAACAGCAATGATGAGAGAGAATCATTGATTGGCTGCCTCCTGCACGCCCTGCCCCCCACTGGGGATCAAGCCCGAAAACTAGGCTTGTGCTCTTGACTAGAATCGAACCTGGGACCCTTCAGTCTGCAGGCTGACGCTTTATCCACTGAACCAAACTGGCCAGGGCATCAACTTGTAATATTTGTTCTTTTTCATTTTCTTTTTTTTTCTTCTTTTAAATATATTTTATTGATTTTTTTACAGAGAGGAAGAGAGAGGGATAGTTACCCTGTTTCCCCGAAAATAAGACAGTGTCTTATACTAATTTTTTCTCCCAAAGTTACACTAGGTCTTATTTTCAGGGGATGTCTTATCTTTCCATGCACTAGGTCTTATTTTCGGAGGATGTCTTATTTTTGGGGAAAACACGGTAGAAACATCGATCAGCTGCTTCCTGCATACCCCCTACTGGGGATGTGCCTGCAACCAATGTACATGCCCTTGACCGGAATCGAACCTGGGACCCCCTCAGTCCGCAAGCCAACGCTCTATCCACTGAGCCAAACCGGTTTCGGCTCTTTTTCATTTTCTTTGCCTTATTGGTTTATATCCCTTTAAGAAGGGACCAGAGGCATACATTCATGTCTTTTTCCATTAAATATATCCCCACTCCCCAGTATGTCTTTTCTCTTACCATTTTAGTGCATTGTATTATGTTTTTATTCTGTTTGTCTCCTTCGCCATAGTTCTTCCAAATCAAAGACCATGTTCTGTTCTTCTCTATATCCCTGGACCAGGGTCTGATTCTCCACACTTATTCTCAAGGAATGAAATGGAATAAATGGACCAACAAATGAATAAGAGATAAATGTGTGTTCATTAATCCTTTCCCCAGTGCTTTACAAGTGGAAATTATTTCTTCCAATGGAAAATGGTCCTTGTTAGTGGAGTTTACCCATGCTTGGTAATACTAGCAGGACTTCCCGTGAAGACACATTTCCTGATAAAATACTGCTTTTGGAATTTTCACAAGCAAAACATCCATTGGAATGTGGAGAGCTAGTTTGAGCGGTCCACATATACTCATAGTTATTTCTAATTGCTTTTGAACATTTCCTAAAAGAGGAAGTGCATAAATGTACACAGTACACAGAATGATGGTGAAGACTTTCCCCCGTATTAGGGAGATAGTCAAGTGTGAATGTTGTCCCTGAAGGGAAACCTAAGGAGGTGGTATGGGAATTAACAACTATTCTATCCCAGCATAAATTCAAGTGAGGTGTTATTGTATTTTACTCCTTTAAGAGTCAAGAAAGGAAAGAGAATGAGGGGGGGAAAGGCAATTATTAACATTAGGGAAATGCACATCAAAACCACAATAATGGTTACCCACCAGACTGGCTCCAATCAAAAAGACAATGTTGCCAAGGATGTGGAGAAATTGGAACCCTCATACACTGCTGGTGGTAATGGTGCAGGCACTTGGCAATTCTACTCCCTAATTATATCCCCAAGAGATTCATAATAACCAAAAAGTGGAAACAACACAAATGTCCATCAGCTGATGACAAATGTGCTATCTCTATATAATGGGACTCTATTCAGTATTATAATAAAAAGAAATGAACTGCTACGTGCTACAACGTCGATGAACCTCAAAAACATTGTAAGTAATAGAAGCCAGATGTAAAAGACCAAATAGTGTATGATCCTGTTTATACAACATGAATTATTGCAGAACAAAAAAGTAATCTGGAAATTCCTCCCTCTGGAGGTGATGTCATTTCTTCTGCATATGTCTGACTTATTTTTTTCTTTCTCAAGTTTTATTTTTAGGGACTGCATTAACTTTTTATGTTTTTATTTTTATGTTTTAGGCCCCTGGTTTGATATGTACTTAACTGCTCGAGACCCCATTGTCCTGAACTTTAATCCATTTATGGCATTCAACCCTGACCCAAAGTCTGAGTATAATGATCAGCTCACCCGGGCGACCAACATGACGGTCTCTGCCATCCGGTTTCTGAAGACACTCCGGGATGGCCTTTTGGAACCAGAAGTGTTCCACTTGAACCCTGCTAAAAGTGACACTGACACCTTTAAGAAACTCATACGCTTTGTGCCTTCCTCTCTGTCTTGGTATGGTGCCTACTTGGTCAATGCGTATCCACTGGATATGTCCCAGTATTTCCGACTTTTCAATTCAACTCGTTTACCCAGACCCAGTCGGGATGAACTCTTCACTGATAACAAGGCCAGACACCTCCTGGTCCTAAGAAAAGGACATTTCTATGTCTTTGATGTCCTGGATCAAAATGGGAACATTGTGAGCGCCTCTGAAATCCAGGCTCATCTGAAGTACATTCTCTCAGACAATAGCCCTGCCCCCGAGTTTCCACTGGCATATCTGCCCAGTGAGAACCGAGACATCTGGGCAGAGCTCAGGCAGAAGCTGGAGAGTGGTGGCAACGAGGAGACCCTGAGGAAAGTGGACTCTGCTGTGTTCTGTCTCTGCCTAGATGACTTCCCCATTAAGGACCTTGTCCACTTGTCCCATACCATGCTGCACGGTGACGGCACAAACCGCTGGTATGATAAATCCTTTAACCTCATTATAGCCAAGGACGGCACTGCCGCCGTCCACTTTGAGCATGCTTGGGGCGATGGGGTTGCAGTGCTCAGGTTTTTCAATGAAGTGTTTAAAGACAGCACTCAGGCCCCTGCCATCACTCCACAGAGCCAGCCGGCCAGCACTGACTCCTCTGCTGCCGTGCAGAAGCTCAACTTCAAGCTGAACGATGCCGTAAAGACTGGCATCATTGCTGCTAAGGAAAAGTTTGATGCCACCATGAAGACCCTCACCGTTGACTGCATCCAGTTCCAGAGAGGAGGCAAAGAATTCCTGAAGCAGCAGAAGCTGAGCCCTGACTCGGTGGCCCAGCTGGCCTTCCAGATGGCCTTTCTGCGGCAGTACGGGCAGACGGTGGCCACTTACGAGTCCTGCAGCACTGCAGCGTTCAAGCACGGCCGCACCGAGACCATCCGCCCCGCCTCCGTCTTCACAAAGAGGTGCTCCGAGGCCTTTGTCAGGGAAGCTTCCAAGCACAGTGCTGGAGAGCTGAAGCAGATGATGGCCGAGTGCTCCAAGTACCACGGCCAGCTGACCAGAGAAGCGGCCATGGGTGAGACGGGGAGCGTGCCCTCGGGTCTTGTTGCCCTCAGCACTGGGGTAGGCCTCAGCTGTATTCTACCCCAGATCTGATTTCTACCTCTTCACTAGACTGTATCCGTCTGCTAGCTACCACATGATTATTTTTTTTCTACCCTAATAGTCTGAATAGCCAGGCCAGCCACTAGAAATCAGAATGTTCTAAGCAGGGATGGGGAAATACATCTAACGTTATCCTCAATGAAGGTCATTTTCAGCTGTGACACATGATTCTTTCTAGTACTTATTAGTCATTGGACGATTTAGGATTTCTAAGCCCACAAGACCCTCTTACTTCACCTCAGACGTAGTGCGTCGGCTCCCTGTACATAGGTCACTTCGGAAGCTCTTCCCAAATCCAAGTGTCTGTCTGCTTTGACCTGGAGGAGCCCATAGCAGCAACAAGTCCTGGAACTAACGGACCTCCAAGACATTCTGGTCTCATCCTTCCCCATCTTATAGGTAGGCAGTGGATGCCACTGGACCAAGGTTACATAGCAAATTAGCAGTAAAGATGAGATGAGAACTCTTTCCGTTTTGTTCTACTGACTCAGTGTCTTTGACACTTGACTTAGACTTTGCCTTTTATCTTAGTTTTTGAGTCCAGAGCTCTCCTGTACTTTTCTTGACTAAATTATCATAACTTAGTTTCAGACCTTGTAAAATCATTTTTATTTTAGGCTCATTTTTGACTCAGCTGTTGAGTTTTTCTTAATATTCTAGAATGAACTGCTCCAGAGGCTAGTGAGCTGGAGGTGTGCATGCAGAGGTAGATAGACTCTCCTTCACTCTCAAGGATGTTTTGAAGGGGGTTCCTACAGGGGTGGGAAGGTTTACTAAGGCTTCTTTCAGTTCTGCGATTTTGAGACTGGTTTTTTGTTTTGTCTCTGACAGGCCAGGGCTTTGACCGACACTTATTTGCTCTGCGGTACCTGGCAGCAGCCCAAGGGATTGCCCTGCCTGAGCTGTATCTGGACCCTGCATACGGGCAGATAAACCACAACATCCTGTCCACTAGCACACTGACCAGCCCAGCAGTGAACATTGGTGGTTTTGCCCCCGTGGTCCCTGATGGCTTTGGCGTTGGGTATGCCGTTCATGACAACTGGATAGGCTGCAACGTCTCCTCCTACACAAGCCGCAATGCCCGGGAGTTTCTCCAATGTGTGCAGAAGGCCTTAGAAGACATGTTTGATGCCATGGAAGGCAAATCCGTCAGAACTTAGCTTCTGGGCAGGTCAAAAGCCTCCATTACTTCATCTACATGAAAACTGAGGCTTGTGTAGCCAATAGGTGCTATTCTGTGACTATTGGAACTAATGAGGCACCTCAGCGGCCAATGATGTGAAGCCTGAGCTTTAAAATTATGGTTTTAAAACTAAATGTGTAATTTCCAAGTGGAATTAGACCAGAAAGATGATGTGAGATTTCTATTTTAAGGGCATTTGATCAGAAAGGTAGGATCTGAAAAAATAACTCAGGTGTATTTATTGTTGAAGCAGAAATAAAATTTAATTGCTGCATCTACTGACATAATCTACTTTATTTTCCCTTTTAATTAATGATTTTTTGAATTCTTTTACCTCCTAAAAGATGAGAGGCAATTTAAAGTACAAAAACTATTGATCCTTTTAGTGTTTGTCTTTATGAGCTTAACACACTGGCTGGTATAGACACTGAAAACTAGAAAGGCTGCTTACCCAGCCTGTTACCTCCACCTATTTGCTTTCAGGCTGGGCAGCGGACTGGACCAGTGGATGGGGGCTGGAAGGCCTGCTGGCTGAGAGCTGGAGAAATGCTGTTGTCAGGAACAAGGAAGAGGCCCAGAGGGAACCAGGCATGTTCGACCTAGACTAAAGAAGTAGCTGCCGACTAGAGAGGGGACAAGGTAGGCAACTCGTCACCTCTTGGACACGGCCACCTTAAATTGGAGGATGCCCACAAGCAGCCTGGGAGTGAGCAGACCCCTTCCCAGTGGGCCATGCAGACATGAGGATATTAATTTTACTTCCAAAGAATTCCTGGCTCCAGCAGAACACTGGATAAATAGGTCACTTGTAACATTTTCCAAATGGGCTCACTGGTGGGAAGGCACGAGCATGCCTCGGGACCTAACTCATTAAACAGCTGTCCCCCGGGGAGGGGCTCTCGCACCTCCACAGGCTGCCTAGGGGGCAGCACACAGGAGTGTGACCACAGAGAGGACAAACCAGGACCAGCAGCTACCGGGGCACAGATGCTGACTCAATATAAGAACTTTCATACTGACTTCCGTGATGGGAGGAGATAGCCCCGTCACAGCAGGTGAGCCAAGACCTAATGGCCACCTGGCTAGAATTTGAGAGCAGAATCTTGCAGGATGGATTGCTGACCTCTACAGTCCCTTTTATCCCCAGAATATGAAGTGACACCAGCTGACAGAGATGCCTCCATTTACTGAAAAGCCACGCTAATCAATGCAGTGTTTTGGCTCAGGATTATTTGGCTCATGGTATCATTCTATAGGCTCAGCTGCATTTCATACCCTTGGCCTTGACACCGTTGGTTTTCTGGGTTGAAAATGCCCACTCCTCATGAGCTAAAGAGCCCTTAGAAGCTGTGTGCTGCCGCACAGTTTGCAAAGTAGTCTGGTGTAAGATTCTATATTGTAGGAAGGTATTGGGAAACAGTGAAGGACCTCTAATAGGATTCTTACTTGTGGAGGGAGTGGCTGCTACCTGACTCTGCCTCAGTGCATGAGTACAGCACAAACGCTTTATTGGTGGGGCTTGGGAAACCGACAGCCCGGCATGCAGCCTGTGAGGGCTCGGACAGCTGCCAGGAGACAAGGGAGGAGGGGACCAGCCTCAGGGGGCTCTGCTGCTTGGTTGTCCCTTCTCAGCTCTTAGAGGCAAGTGTGCAGGAAGAGGGCTCAGCACTTGACAAACTGGTGGGTGACCTCGTAAATTCCCACAGACTCCTGCGCCTTTTCGTCATAGTCGGTCCAGTCCTATGGGGGGAGATGGCAGCGTTAGCTCAGCAGGCAGCCTAGGACAGTGTGGAGAGGAGCACTACGACTTAAAAGGCCCAGTTCAGGCTCTGACCCAGCCATGCATGAACACGTATGACCCAGAACAGAGCCAGACTGTTCAGGCCTGAACTCCAGCTCTTCTAGCTTTGTGATGCTGGCAAGTCACTTAACCACTCTGATCCTCAGAGCTATTCTCCATTTAAAAAAAGGGACAATAGACTTCATGTTGAATGTTGAAGGAATCAAATGAGGTAACACATGTAAAAGTACTTAGTATAGTGCCAGATACACATAAAAGCTCAATAAATTCTAGTCACTGTTATTACTATGTGCTGTGCAAGTTGAATGAAGTTTTTGTCCTTCATTTGAGCCTGAACACAAGGTTTCCTCATTGGCCAGGCATTACCATTCCACCGATACAGTCAAGTCTCATTATCTGTGGTAGTTACATTCTACAAAGTCACCACAGTGCTGACTTAGTGAATAATGAACCAGTGCTCCCAGGAAAAAACACAGGGTTAAACTCATGGGAGTCTACATCTGATCACACTGCTTTTAACCAATACATAACCTTGTTTCATGTATGATTCTGTTTAAAAACACCTTTTCAATATATTGTTCATTCACTAAAATTGAACTCACAGCCAAAAACATAACTCATGCCTTCTATTTCCTCTAGCAGCACATTCCAGCCTTCATGCATGTGGAACACTTGGTGGAACTTCAGCGTTACACTTGAGGCCATCTTATACACCAAAATCACAACAAAATGCACAGAGATGTGCAGTCAGCTTTCCACTGATGAGTCTTGTTCACCATAAGAGACAATTTCCACCACGTGCCCTACCGCACCTGCAAGGCCCCCATGTCCCGTACCTTCTCCTGCAGATTAATGTCGCTGAAGACTGTCCGCGATTCTACACCCTCCGCAGCAAACCCAGCCTGCAAGGGACAGGAAGGCAGTGAGTCCGAGGGGAAGGAGGCCCTGGGCTGGCACGTGAGCCTGACCAGGGAACTGGCTCTTCTCACAGCACATCTGGGAAGGGGCACAGAGAGGCAGTGTTGGCAGCTGTTCTGGAATAACTACTGAGCTTCCAGGGCCTGGCAGCTGCCTGGGACTAGAGTGGTTCCTCCAATTACAGCCCTAGATCAGAAGGCAGGAGCTGCAGGATAGACTCTTTTACTATCAGGTTGTCTGAAAGGCAATCGAAGCTGTAAAGACTCAGATCACCCCAATGGTCCCAAGTACACTTAGCTGCAGCCTGTTGCTAACCATCCACCAGCTGGGCATGCTGCTTTCCTCTCTGGGCCTTAGTTTTCTTATTTATGAAATGGGGACATTTCTTATTTATCATCTCTTCTGCCTATCTCACAGACTTGTGAGGTGAAAATGCCGCTCCAATAAAATGAGATGAGCACTGACTCTGGAGTCAGAGAGGCCTGCATTCAAATTACAGCTCCCTTGCTTTCTGTCACCCTGGGCAAGTTGCAAAACATTGAAATCCTTTCCTTGTCTGAAAAAACAGTACGGGCCTGAAACCGGTTTGGCTCAGAGCGTCGGTCTGCGGGCTAAAAGGTCCCAGGTTCGAATCCGGTCAGGGGCATGTACGTTGGTTGCAGGCACATCCCTGGTAGGGGGTGTGCAAGAGGCAGCTGGTCGATGTTTGTTTCTCTCTCATTGACGTTTCTAGCTATCTCTCTCCCTTCCTCTCTGTAAAAAAATCAATAAAATATATTAAATAAAAAACAAAAACAAAAACAAAAAACAGTACAGGTAACTGCACAGGGTGACTGTGAGGGTTAAATAAGATAAAACATGTAAAACTGACCAGCAGGGTGCCCAACACAGAGTAGCACTTAATAAATAATTATTATTCTTACAAAGGAGAATTCCTAGTTCATGGTCTCTGTAGGAAGCAAAGTTCTGCTATTGCTTCCTATGTGCCCTCCCCAAAGACACAGGTTTCCCAGGAAAACACACACACCTGGGGCTGGAAGTCAACTGGTTCAAGGCCCCGGCACTCAAACTCTACTATCGTCTTGAACTTCTCATTGTCTTCAACCTAGAAAGGAAATATATTGAGGAGGTAGGCCCAAATGGGCCCTCAGGATAGCCCCAAGGCCCCTACCCTTCATGTCAAGCAGGTCCTTACTGCCCCTCTGAGCCCAGAATAGGACTTGGGACCAAATTACCCCCTTCTGGTAGAAGCCTGTCTTAGCCACCTGCTCCCCAAAAGACCCTGGTCATGGATGTTACAGAACAAAGAGTGTGGACTCGGGGGTCCGCTTGCCTACATGTGAGGCAGAACTCTAGTCTTACTTCCCCCTTCTGGGCCTGAGACTATCAAATAAAGGTGAGGAACCACTACAAATTTATTGTGAGAACTTGAAATATATGTAAAGTACCCAGCAGAGTATCCAACACTATGCTCAGTAACTAGTAGATAACATTACCAGCATCACAAATATGAATAAGAATGTTAAGCTACAAAGTCTCCAGATCATCTAAACGGCCCCAGCACACTTAACTATGGCTTTTTGCTAACCATCTGCCATGCTGTGAAGGCAGGGACCCGACTTAAAGCCTTTGAAATGAAATTTACTTACAGAGGAGGCACCTATGAGCAAGGTGGTGTAGCCAGGAAATTCATGCCTACCGACCCATGGGCCCAGAGACCCCAACCATGCCTACACATTCGTTCTCATCCTGTCACTCACTCTAAAATCACTGCCTGGCCCTAGCCAGTTTGGCTCAGTGAGATAGAGAATCGCCTGTGGACTGAAGGGTCCTGGGTTCGATTCCAGCCAAGGGCACATGCCTAGGTTGCAGGCTCGGTCCCCAGTGGGGTGTGCAGGAGGCAGCCAATCAATGATTCTTTCTCATCATTGATGTTTCTATCTCTCTTTCCTTCTCCCTTCCTCTCTGAAATCAATAAAGATATATCTAAAAAAACAACAACAAATAAACTAGGGCCAGCACACACCAACCGTGTGTGCTGGCCCTAGTTTGCTTTTGTTTGCTAATCTGTCTCTTCCACTAGATCATGGTTTGCTTGAGGGAAAGTCCTCATTTGATTTCTCTTTAACTTCAGGACAAAGCTGAAGTATGGCATGAATCAGACATTTTTCAAAAATACCAAATAAGGAATTGATAAATACAAGTTAAATGTCCTTTTTTAAACACACAGACCCAAAGCACACACACCCTCCCTCACCTTTGAACTAATTTGTTATACAGTAATGAATAACTACCTAAGAATACGGACAGTATCAAGGATGGATGGTACCATTAAAGCACTCTTCCCCTATGGCTTCAGAGAGGGCTCACTAGACCTGAAAGATGTAGATAAGGCCAATGTCCCAATGATGGAGACTGAATGGCCAGCTGGATCACAGGTCCCCTGAGCTCCCCCAGCTCGGCACTGACGAGTATAATTCTAGAACCCAGGCCTCCCAGCTTGGATCTAATCCCACTATGCCTGCCACCACAGCAGGCAACTTACGTTGTAAGATCTGATGGTGCTGCTCAAAATCTCTGAAACACAAAACAGAAGACAAAGTTGACTTGAGTCCATACGTTGGCCCTACCCCAGATCCCCGATGTGGCTCTGGGAAAGGGTCTGCTGCAGAGGCGCGGGCTCCTCAGGTGACATGAGCCTGCTTTGGGTCTGGTGTCAGGAAGCCGGGGGCTGGCCGGGCAGAGCTCAGTACCCAGGGCCTGACGTACCGATGGAGTTCTCCCGCGCGCACAGCTTGCACTTCTGGACCATGGAGGCGCTGCCCCGGCCTCCCTTCAGGGCCACACTGTCCTAGCGAGGAGGGAACACAACCTCTAGTCACATAGCAATCAGACGGAAGGTCCTGAAGACCCAGTCCCACCACTTATTACCCAACGGGAGAGACCAAGACTCAGAGAGGGTGAGCAACTTGCTAGGACAAGAATCCTGGGGAGGTTTCTTAAGACCAAGGAAAGGGCTTCCCCTTGATTTTGAACTCTGCCTCACATCCCAAAGGCGGCTCTTATTTGCACGGTTAATCCCACTAATGCCTGCCCTCCCAAACCACAAAAAGCAAGGTTCAAAGATGGGAAGAGATTAGGATCACAGATTCCCCAAATTCCTGCCTAGAGATTGTGTGTGTGTGTGTGTGTGTGTGTGTGTGTGTGTGTGGTGGTAGGGGGGAGCAGTTACCATCAGCCGAATGTATTGCCACTTCTCTGAAATCTCACCACAGTTGCCACATTTCATCTTGGGAGGGAAAAGAGTATTAGTTCAGTTAGGCAGTCGCTGAGGGAAGGGTAAGAAGGCAGGCTCATAACCTGCCTTCCAGCCAGCAATCTTACCTCATCCTTACAACCAGCCCCACCAAGGACACAACCAGACTTACCTCTGGGCAAAGAGCAGGCCAAAGTGCTTCTCATGCTGGCAGACCCACCCTCCTCTAAGTGCCCAGGTTAGCTGGGGACTCAAGGCTCATGTGGTACAGAAATGGTCTCAGCAGGCCCCCCTCCCATCCACGCTGCTAGGTTAGGAGCTTCCTGAGTTCCCACGGGCCCTGCAGGTCCCTGGGGTAAGTGTTTATCCTCTGTTGTTACTGTTTTTCTGTCTCCTTCCCTAGTCTCTGTGCTTTTTGAAACCAAAGAACATCAATTCCCCAAATAAGCCCTGGCACTTCGTCTTCAAAATATATGGGATTAAAAAATGGTCAGAGGCTTCCTGAAACAGAAGAAGCTTTTGCCAAAAACTGAAGGATGCTGGGATTTAGACTACAAGGAAAGTAGCAGAAGCTCTGGGATCCGGGAGAGGGAAAGGGCTTACACTACTCGGGTAAGAGGGGTCCTCTCACAAAATAAACCCAATCAACAAATAAAACAGGTGAAATTATTCTTACTAAATAATCACAATATCCCTTCAAGCAGCCTTTCGTTTAGCGTTTACATACCATAAAATATTATATTTAACGAAGAAAAAAATTACAAAAGGAATCCCCAAACACTGTCAACTAAAGACTAGCCAATCAATTTTAAAAAGCAAATTATAAAATTCTATCCAGAAAAAACAACATTAAGTGGTTAAGCACAGATCAGGAGGGGAACCTTCTTCCGGGCCCGGCCTCTGGCGCCCCCTCCCGGAACCTCGAAGCGCCACAGCCTCTCGGGCTCCTCCCCCTCCCCGCGGGGCCCCGCCCCCGCACCTTCAGGTACCACCGGAAGTCCTCCCCCACGGGCCGGAGGTTAGTGACGTTCTCCAGCGTGGCTTTGAGCTGCAGCGCGATTTTCTGAGGAAAGGGAGGGCCGAAGCGATTGCGTTATTCGCGCCTGCGCAGCCCCACGCCTCGCCCCTGCCCTCCCGCCCCCCGCGGCACGAGCGCGGCCTCTCCGCTCCTTTACAGCGCAGGCCCGCTCCCCCCATTCTCTGCCGGCGCGAGCCCCCGCATCCCAGACCCACGCCGCCGCCGGTCCCTGGCCCGGCGGCGTTTCGCTCCCGCCTCACCCCCATAGCGGCCCGGCTGTGCCCGGCTCTGGCGGCGGCCGCTGCTTTCCGGCCCGTCGCAAACGGTGGGCGTCACGGTGCGGGCCTGGGCTCGCCTCGGCTGGGCGTGGGGGCGGGTCTCGGGGCGCCGCTCCTTCCGGCGCACGTGGCGCTTTGGCTGCTTTTAGGCGAAGAAAACGGAGGCCACCGGAGTTGGCCATTAGCCTGCCTCCAGTGCTCGGGAACTCCGGTGTTCAGTGGACGCGGGTAGTCAGGGATGCCGCAGCAACCTTCCTCCTGCCCTCAGCTTTCGGGCTCCTCACCGCTCCGCCTCCCCGCCGGCAGCCTGCTGCCCGGAGGCTCCTTAGGTGGCGTGGCCCCCCCCCACACACACACCCCCCGCCCCGCTCTGGGCCGCCTGCGCAGATGTGGGGCCTTTTTGTATTCTCCAATGGTCCCTTCCTTTCCTCACCCAGACCTGCTTTCAGCGGATTGTCAATTGCATTCGTCCTCATGGTGGGCCTGAGACTGGCTCTCCTCTGGGCTCCCCTCTCTATCCTTTCTACCTTTACTGAACCTCGTTTTACCTGCCCTCTGGTCCAAGGCATGTCTGAGACCGTACAGGTGCTGTAACGTTACAAAGAACAGCCCGTTTGAAACTCATAGCCTTCTGAGCTCCTCGCGGTCATGTCTTTAAAATTTGGAGTGACAATTTTGGTATCTACTTTACCACCACGTAGTCTCATTGCCCCAGGTACCCTCCTATAGAGTCAGGAACCCTGACACCTCAGGTCCCAGATCTGCACCTCACCCGCTGCCCCGTTACCTCTGAAGGAGGCAGAGTAGGGTGTGCATATGCTGGGAGTAGTGGGAGCACTGGCTTAGTCCAATTTGGGACCTCGTCCTAAGTTAGCTTGCCTTGAGGGATGGGAGCTCTGCCCAGTCACTTCCCCTCAGTCAAGTGACTTATTTTCTTATTTTAAAAAAATACATACTTTATTGATTTTTTTATAGAGAGGAAGAGAGAGGGATAGAGAGCTAGAAACATCGATGAGAAACATTGATCAGCTCCCTACTGCACCCCCCCCACTGGAGATGTGCCCTCAAGCAAGGTACATGTCCTTGACCAGATTGGAACCTGGGACCCTTGATTCCGCAGGCCTATCCACTGAGCCAAACTGGTTTCGGCTCAAGTGACTTATTAAGACCAGTTCCTTTCAGTGCCACAACCTATTTAACCAGCAAGTTCCTACAGATTCACTTAAATTCCTACACTACCTATACCCATTATAGTCGGCTTTGTTTTAAAATCTTCATGAGGATATCTTTTCCCATTGATTTCTAGAGGAAGGGAGGGAGGGAGGGAAGCACTGGCATGAGACACATGGACTCACTGCCTCCCACATGCACCCCTACCAGGGCCGGGGAACCTGCAACCAGGGTAGGAGGTACGCTCTTCCCACAACCTGTCAGTCCCCAGGCGGACACCACCATCTAGGTCAGATCTCAGTTCTTACTAGCTGTTGGTAGTCTGATTTCAAAATGGACTGGGGCCCTGGCTTGATTGAATGTTGTCCTGTGCACTGATTCGATTCCTGGTCAGGGCATATACCCAGGTTGGAGGTTTGATCCTGTTGTGATACATACGGGAGGAGACCAATCGATGGTCCTCTTCCTCTCTTTAAAGTCAATAAAAAATATTTTTAAATGTATTGGAAAACTTTACCGAGACTAGGCATTTTATCCCTTATATTAGTTTCTTCCATAATGAAATAACTGTAAATAGTATCTATCTATAAAAGATGATTTTAAAAAACCCAACCACAATACAATTTTACACCTAAAAAAAAAAAAAAAGACATTTCATTAAAATCAAATATCCAGCGTTCAAGTTTTTGTAATGTCAATTTAAAATTTTTTGATTCATGATCCAAATGGGACCCAAACATTGCTTCATGCTCCATCTCTAGTTTGTTTTATTGTTTATGTTTTACTGAAGAAACCAGATCCCTTGCCCTGGACTTTTCTCTGATTATTGCTGATTGGACTGCCACTATATTTTTTAACACATTTATTTTTTAGCGATTTGAGGAGGAGACATCGATTTGTTGTTCCATTTAGTTATGCATTCATTGGTTTATTCTCATATGCTCTGAGTGGGGATTGAGCCTGCAACCTTGGCATATTGGGACAATACTCTAACTAACTGAGTTATAAAGCCAGGGCTTTATTTTCTTGTTTCCTATGAATTGGCAGTTTTGTCTACAGAGTCAATTCAGTTAGATTTTGGGGCAATACTTTACACAGGATGTTAGTGTTTTAAGAAGGAAGTAGTTCCTGGCTGGTGGCTTCGCCAGTTTGGAGCGTCATCCTGTACACCAGAAGGCTGCGGGTTCTCCTGGTCAGGGCACACTCCGAGGTGGTGGTTTTGATCCCCAGTTGGGACACGTGTAGGAGGTGGCTGATTGATGTTTCTCTTGCATCAATGTTTCTGTCTCTCTCTAAAAATCAGTAAAAACAGATCCTCGGGTGACCTCTCTGAAATCCATAATATATTTATACACACGTTTAGAAGTCTCTATAAAACAATAATTGCATTTTGTTATGTATTTATTAAAGACAATCATTTACAGTTCATAAAAAAAATATTGGCCTGATATACACAAAAATTTCCTGATAATGGTAATGAAAACCAGCTACTCCCACCCCCTTGTGTCCACACCAATATTCAGTTTAGATTGGTTTAATCTTGAAGTGTAATCCAATAAGACTGAAGACCAAACACTTCAGGTCCTGGACAAGATAATAAAATACTCGTAAGCCTTCTGGGTCCCTAAAATGCAAAAGGGAAAAAAATGTTTAAAAAGCAGAGACAACTTGCAAGATAATACCATTTAACACAAATTATGTACCAAGGCATTGTACTTATAAGGTATTTACAGAATTAAAACTATGCCCAAAACACAGGAGCCAAAGAGGTTTTCAAATTCTGAAACATACATTATAATTTGTCCTGACAACACAAATTTTAAAATTTATATTCCAAATAATTTCAAGTTTCATCCAAGTCAGACTTTAAGATGTGCTAGTCTGAATGACTAACACCGAGGAAGGTAGTTAGACTTATCTTAAGCACTTGTATTGGCATATTTCATTTTTCTGTTCTGGACAGATTCCTACCCACGTTGGCTGCTCCAATTACATTACTCTGTGTGTCACTAAGAAGCTATTAACTAGAGGCCTGATGCATGAAATTTATGTCAGGGGCTCAGCCCTCGCAGCCCCAGCTTTGTCCTGAAAGTAGTCCAGAAGGTCATTTGTTTGGCCTTTTGGCCTAATTAGCATAACAGGCTTTTATGCTAATTAGACCTGCCAGCCAAATGACCTGGACTAAGCCACTGCAGCAGGGGTGAGACAGAGGCAGATAGGGGCGATCAGGCAGGCAGAGAGGTTAGGGGCGATCAGGCAGGCAGGCAGGGTGGTTAGAAGCCAGAGGTCCGATTGCAAGAGGGTGCAGGCTGGGCTGAGGGACATGACCTCCTCCCCCTGCCGCATGAATTTGTGCACTGGGCCTCTAGTTATAGATAACTGGACAAAAGGTCAAAAGCAATAGGAGCAAGCCTTGAAAATAATTTAGAGCCTCTCCATCTGTACCAGATCTTACCATAATGGTCCTAATTTGGTTAAGGATTTCATATCAATCTGCTGTAAAACAGACACATCTGGATATACAGATGATGTACACTTACTTGGATTGATTGACATCAATGAGGGAACCAATTTTTGATGTTGTGAAAGAAATGTGTTCATCTCCAATGACGATTTCAAGCTCCTGGAAACATTAAAAAATGTTTAAAATCAAGCCAAATTGGATTTTCATTAAGTACATAGGAAGTTCATCTGCCAAATCACACAAACACTATCTACTACACCTAAACAAGACAATTCACTCTGAGGACTAAATTGCACTAGGTACTAGAAACAGAGATAAATACTCCCTTGAATAGCTCATTCTTTGAGGAAGTTGTGTCTGTAATTTGGAAGAAATCACATAATTGTTTTTATTTTTATTTTTTTTTATTTTATTGATATTTTTTACAGAGAGGAAGGGAGAGAGATAGAGAGCTAGAAACGTTGACGAGAGAGAAACATCGACCAGCTGCCTCTTGCACACCCCCTACCGGGGATGTGCCCACAACCAATGTACATGCCCTTGACCGGAATTGAACCTGGGACCTTTCAGTTCGCAGACCAACGCTCTACCACTGAGCCAAACCGGTTTTGGCACATAATTGTTTTGTATGTGTGTTTTTGTTAAGTGTGGAGTAGCATATATAAATATGTTTTACAAATCCCAAGAATCTAACTTTTCTGAGCAATCTGGGGAAATTCTGGACAATGATAAATGCAATGAAGATGATCAAACTTTTTTTTTTTTTTAATGATGGAGAGAGGTGTTTTCTTTATTGATTTGGAGTCCGTCCTTTAATAATTTTCAGAAGAAAGCCAAAAAGTGGCGTCAGGCTCAGTAGAGACATTGATCAAAGATTTGTAAAAATGGCAGGTTTGCAAACCTTGGGTAAGGTACATCAAATAAACCTATTTTTCTTGTTCTCTGAAAGCGAAGTATTTCCTGTTGTGTACACCAAACAAGTCAGTACAGACTAATGATGTGACAATTGGCTGC